AAACTATTTAGTCTCAAGGAGTGTAAGAAGACACGGGGCCCCTCAATGAAATTGGAGGACAGGCGGTTTAACCATAAACTGCGTTGGGGGTTCTTCACTGTCGGGGCGATAAGGATATGGAACTCCCTTCCACAATCGCTGGTGTCAACTGAAAGTATTGATCGTTTTAAAAAACTATTGGATAGGCATCTTAGCGAACACAGTATACAGGATATGGGAAATTATTTTTTTTTTCCTCCCATGGACACACACACCCCCACAGGTTAAACTGAATGGACTGGCGTCTTTATTCAACCTTACCAGCTATGTAACATACTAGGGTTAGCTTAGACAGAAGCCAATTAACCTACCTTTGCAGTGTGGGCAGAAACCCATGCCAGAAAAGAGAGAACATGTGAACTCCATGCAGATCGTGTCCTGGTTGGCATTCAAACTGTGTTACAAGGCAGTTAGTACAAACCACTACGCCCTTCATACAGGGTGCAGCAACATAGCTTCCTTTTTTCAAAACGCAATAAAATCCATTTTATGAATCAGAATTGTTTTTATTGTCTTTAATAATGTAGGTACATATCTAAAGTTCTGTTTTACACAGTTTTGAAAATCATATCAGGTAGGTGACGCCCCCCATTGTCCATACACTGAATAAGCCGATTCTGGCGTTTTTCATGACCCTTACCAGCATAGCAGCGGGTATGTTGGCAATTTCTGCATGGATGTTGGCCTTCAGGTCTTGTAGGGTCCTTGGACGGTTTACATAAACGCGGGATTTAAAAAAAACCCCCACAAAAAAAAGTCGCAAGGGGCCAAATCGGGGGAGCGGGCTGGCCACTCCAAATCGCCCCTTATTGAGATGAGGCGCTCCGGGAAGTGTTCCCTTAAAACAGCCATTGATGCTCTTGAAGTGTGAGCCGTTGCTCCGTCCTGTTGGAACCAAATGTCCAATTCATCAAGTCGTGGAAAAACAAATTCCTCCAACATGTTCACATACCGGTCTGAATTCACTTATTCAGTGTATGGACAATGGGGGGCGTCACCTACCTGATATGATTTTCAAAACTGTGTAAAACAGAACTTTAGATATGTACCTACATTATTAAAGACAATAAAAACAATTCTGATTCTTAAAATGGGTTTTATTGCGTTTTGAAAAAAGGAAGTTATGTTGCTGCACCCTGTATTTAGGAACCGATAGGTGTTCTGCAGTTTGGTATTTAGGATCCCTGGTTTCATGAGTATCGGGACTTTAAAGAACATAATAGGAGGTACACTTAGGGTGCCTTCTTGGAAAGGCTTGCTTTAAAAAACAGTGACATATATTGTGCAAAATTTGAAAAATAGTACTCACAGACAGGGGTGGACTGACTCATGGGGCCCCCGGGCAATAGGGGATCATGGGGCCCCTGTGTCCTTGCCCAAACTCAAAAAAGCCTATGGAAAAGGTACCGCATCTCATGGGGCCCCCTACTTTCGGGCAGTGCCCGAGTTTCCAAATGGTCAGTGCGCCCCTGGTCACAGAACCTAGGAGAGTAGTTTAGAGGATTATTTCCTATCAATTAATTTGTTTTATTGAGCAGTTAAATATTTATGAAAGTATCCAAATCTGGGCATTTAATCTGATCGTGCAAGCTGATTTTTCTTCACCAATAGCAATATAGTATGAGGGCTTACCTGATTGGATATAAATTGAATGGATAATTTAGGTAGGCCCTGCCCTTGCATAGCTGTTGCTAAATATAAAGGAGGCAGGGGCAGACTGACCATTTGGGAACTCGGGCACTGCCCGAGGGCCCGGGGTCAGTAGGGGGCCCATGAGATGCCCCTGGTGCCTTTTTGTATAGGCTTTTTTGGGTGTGGTTTGATTGTGGGTGAGGACACAGGGGCCCCATGATCCCCCATTGCCCAGGGGCCCCATGAGTTGTCAGTACGCCCCTGAAAGGAGGTTTTAAAATCAGATGGTAATCTCTAGCCTGCTTTAGATAGCATAAAAATGTAAAAACATAGACCAAATCCGTAATGCAAAGGGGAAGTGGGGGTGCCATCACACTTATCAAGTGGTCCAAATATCTCCAATACTGCTCAAGCCAATGCACTTTCTACATTGCTGCTACCATTTGTGTTGTGTTATTGAATATGTCTACATGTGTTTTCTGTGATAACATAGAGTATAATTTATGAAAATGTCGAGGGTGCCTTCCTTTTCCCCAGTTTTAATCAGATCCATGTTGCAAAAAGCAATTGTGTGAAGTTACCAGATCGACCAATCAGGGCTCAGATTTCACCAGCACATGAGTAACTGCACATCATGGCTAGTTAGATTGATACATTCTGCTTTGTATAAGATCAGTTTTGTTGGGTTGATATATATGATTCCATGTACCATTGCCTGTGCCAACGTGTAAACCCATCATACATGCCCCGCAGCTTGCCAAACTCATACTAACTTTGGCTGCTATATAAATGCATGCTGGACCAAATATAGCTCCCATGTCATATCGGGGGGAGGAGCATGCATGATATTATTTGTGGTAACCTCCTACATAAACATTGTTCATTGCTTTCAAAATGCAGTTTCCCCGGAAGTCAAACTAGAGATTCTATTTGCTTTGATTAGTCAAGAGAAGACATGGAGCTGAGGCTCTGCTGAGGTATTGTCCTAGTGGGCCTTGCTGGGCAGGGATTGATGGGCCCTGTGGATCACCAATGGCTGGTGGAGTGTAGATGGCTCATGCTTGTTCTAGACCAGAGGCAACTTTTGCACCCAAGCTATGTTGAAACTTCAAATGCCATCATTCTTCGAACTCTGGGAGTCATGCGTATGACTGGCAGAGTCTTGAAATGCTTCATGGGATTTATAGTTTCCCCAGTACTGGGTTTCCAAGGTTTCCTTCACCTGTTCTAGACTGTAATGATGACCAGCAGATGATGACTTGTGTTGGCTTACAGTCGTAACCATTCCTGCTGCAAGCATGGCCCCATATCTTAAGGGTTTGAGGGGAATTCTTCTCAGATGGCCTTTGTTGTGTAGGAACCAGTTGAATTCTTCTTTCTATTGTTTTCTGCACAAGTAGAAACTGGTTGCTGTGCCACAACACAGACTATCTTAAGACAAATCTTCCTTCAGACATAGAAATATACACAGCCCACCAAATGATGGCAGCCCTTTGGAATGTTTATTTTTGATCAGTCATTTCACTGCTTAGAAATTATTTATATGAGACCAGATCTGAAGAGGACATGTCTCAATTATATCACTGGATCCAGTGAATTGACACTCCACATTTTTATTATAAATGTTGTCTCGGTTGTCCATAGGGCTTGTTTTTAACATGTAATGTTATTGTAACCTGCCTCATAGAAATACATTATGTTCCATATATTTTTTGGGTTAATCCACTAGGGAATTGGCCATACCTGAACTGTGGTTTCACCAATCCTTATTGGAATATATAGAGTATATTCTGCAGGCGGGAAGCAGAGCCCTGATTGTCATAGTAGTACCAAGGTGGAGACTGTTCTGGTTACAGACAACAGTAAAGTCCATGTGTAGAATAAAACAACCCCCCTTACTATGCAAAAACTTAAAAGTGAACCTGTACCAAGACTATGCACACTAAAATATTTGCATATTCAGAACAAGCAGTTAAAGCACTTTAAAACAAGCCTTAATTCACCTCTGTAGCTGTAGGCATTGTGAAGAAATGTATCCTATTCACATCTGAGTGTGTTGTGAGCACAAGTTTTTATGCTTTTTTTATGTGTTTTCAAACACTTAAAGGAGTTTTTGTTTTGGCCCGTGGAAAAGCAGTATCATCTGTGACATCATCTTGTCATCCTTGTATCTGCTTTCTTTTTTTTTCTATGTAGTGTTATGGTGTCTTGGGCTATCAGAGCTCTTGAGCCATGTTTTTTATGCCATTTTCTTCCTACTGCCCTTTGCCACAGTTCTTGTAATGGCCATCACTGTGGTCATAGAGATTATTGTTGGCCTTTACCAGACAAACAGGGGCGGACTGACCATTTGGAAGCTCGGGCACTGCCCGAGGGCCCGGGGTCAGTAGGGGGCCCCATGAGATGCCCCTGGTACCTTTTTCATAGGCTTTTTTGAGTTTGGGCAAGGACACAGGGGCCCCATGATCCCCTATTGCCTGGGGACCCCATAAGTTGTCAGTCCGCCCCTGCAGACAAATGTCCACATTCCGCATGGATACTCCTGAATCCTCAGTTTTGTTCACAGGCCTGAGGTTGCTAGGAGGAGGAGACCAGAAAACATGCTAAAGAGCTTGAGTTGTGCATTTTCAAGGCAAAATGCTTGATTCTGTGTGAAAAGCAAACTCATGTATGTTTTCACATGACAAGTTGCAGCATAAGACTCAAGTGGGAACAGGCACCATTGAATATAAAGGGAATCTTCACATTCAGGGAATGCTTGGCAAATCGCTCAGGTGTGAATGGGAGCATAGAACCCATATTTTGAACTGAGGTTTTTTTTTTTTTTAGAGTGAATTACTTCACAGTACAAGCAACTAGAGAGGTCAGGGATGGCTTTACTGTCCATAATCTGGGCACAGGTGCACTTTAAAAATAGTTTGAATTCTGCTTTAACACTTGATATTTCATGCATATTGGAAAGATTAGAGAAGTCATTTTTTACGGATAGCCCTGATACATATAACTAATCAACATTGTCCTGTATGTGCATGGAATTCCAAGTGTTACTGCCATTAGCGAAATAAGGGGGGCGCCATTGCTGACTTCTCATGCTAGTTCACTGGCTGTTTTGTTAACTCTTCTTTACTTTCTGAGTCTCTGATCCAGAAGGGTCAGCATGAAAGCCAAGCGACTAGCACTTTAAGAATTACAGCTTAGCAATGGCAGCCTCCATATTTCTACAACTCTGACATCATTTTATACCAATCTGAATGAACCCTTCATCTCTGATTGCAAGCTTCTGTGCCTTTGGCAACTTTCAAAGTACTAAACCGGCTTTTCTCCTGCAGATGTGGAGGCCACACCAGAGATCAGGCTTTCAAAAAGCAGGTCTAGGGAGCAGCAAATCCCTTAATTTAGTGACCCTGTTCAAGTGATATCCCAAGTGGTGAGTTCCTGCCTGCATTGTAAATGAGGCTCTCCTATCCCCATTTACAACTGGCTTTCAACCGACCATGAGATGCGGCTTACTGCTTTTCATTTCATCATTTGCATGCTTTACTCTCCATTTCCTTACTGCAAATCTGATGTGCGCAAACCAGCTGAACAGAGAAGACTATGTGCAGTACATGTGTAGATGTGAACATTGGTGAGGGAGCCTAGCCAGGAACATAACATGGTTCGCTACCGAAAATGGAAGGTTAAAAGTCTAATTCCACCTTTCTGACAAATGTGATGTTGTGAGGAAGAACAGTGCATTCATCAGCTTTGTAAATAATATTTATTTCTTGATTTTATTCTGCTTTCCTCTACAGTTGTTAAATATCAATCAATTCAGCCAATCTATGTTGATGGACTGATTTATATTGTTAAAAAACCCTTATCAGGAATATGTTTGTAGTTTTGCATACAGTGGGGAAGAGTTAAATTGTCCTACTTTATCCTCATTGAGGAGATTTTTTTTACTTGCTGTCCCTGAGATGCCCGTACAAGAAATAGGGGGGGGGGGGGGGGTTGCTGGCATCTATGGGACAGGAAGGCACCAACAGCTATAAAGACGTTGTCAAAGGTTCCAACCCTTCACAGTTGGAGAGCAGTGATGAGCTGGGGCATGTTTGGACTGGGATCTGAACCCAAGTGTGTGAGCCTGCCAAGAAGCTGTCACCTGTACGGGCCAATCATCTATGGCCAGGACATTCCCTGCAGCTCTATGCCCCTTGTCTAAGTGCGACAGCAGGGCAGGAATTGGCCCAGCTGCAGATGATTGGCTTATACAGGAGACCACTTCTTGTAAAGCGCTGCGCAAACTGTTGGCCCTTGACGTTTGTCTTATACTTGTTTTCCCAACTCTCAACCGTGGCTTCAGGAGTCAATCATGTGACAATGTTTGGACCTGTTGATTGGGTGCAAGGCCCAAGCACAGTCATGAGAAAAGAGGTCACATGTTCTCTTATAACTGGTAGTGCTGGATATTTTGTTGTGGCTCCAACAGGGTGGGTGGCTTGCAGAAGTGAGTTTGGATTCTAGTCTAGCATGCAAGTGTACAATCCAAACGCACACGTTCCTGCGTTAAAAATGGCGGTGTGTATAAGTGGGTGCTGCAGCGACCCGTCGGCTGGAACGGAACAAAATCAGGAAGGAAAAATGTCACGAGCACACCGAGGATCACCAATATGGGTCCAAAGGTTTTAATGAACGATCACATAGTTACAGCAAGGCAACGTTTTGGAGTCTCGCAGGACCCCTTCATCCGGCATGGATTCTAGTCTAAACACACCCAAACTCATCACTATTGGAGAGATTTACCATAATTGAGGGGTAATCTTCGAAACAGGGGCAGCAATAAAACCTGGAAGATGTTCTAAACCTTCCCTGTTCTGTCCAAAAGAGAGTAAAAAAATCTAAATGGAGTTGGGCTTTAAAGAAACCTAGGCGGGGTGGGAAAATACTGTCACATAACTGCAGGCACCAGTGCATACCTAAACTGATTCAAAATGGCCCTGATCAGCATCCCCGGAACCCCCTGAATCTGTCAGTAGAGGATAGGTGGGGCTCAATCCCACAATTCAATGCTCAATTCTGGATCATTCTATCCATGCATTGGAGCATTGTCAGGGGCACCTTGATGGCTGGTTGATGCGGTTTTTGACTTCTACTGGCACCTTATGGAACATCCAGGTATGTGACACTATTTTCCGATATACTTTTTCTCCAGTTATACTTTAAAGCAAACCTATACCAATAAAATATGGAGGCTGCCATTACTAACTTCTCTTTCTGAGAATGCTGATTTCCTGGCTGACAAGCTGATCCTCTACCATTAGTAGTGTTTGAATCACTGTCCAGCAAGGAGCCTGCAGTCCAACAGTTTGGACATCACTCTGGCTTTCGTTGTTTCTTGCTTAAAGTATTAAAGCCAGACACAACAGACAGCTAATATTTTCATCCAGGTTAGCAATGGTAAATCATGCATGCCCATAGTGTAGACTTCCTTTAAAATGACCCATTCAGGCAAAATATGGTTGACTCCCGAAGCAGTGTGGGGAAGGCAAGCATAAGACAAATGTCAAGGGTCATCCAGGGCAAAGTTAAAGGGTCTCTTTAACCATTTCAATACCAGGCAATTTTACCCCTTCCTGCCCAGGCCATTTTTCACGTTTCAGCGCTCTCACACTTTGAATGACAATTGCGCGGTCATACAACATTGTACCCAAACTAAAATTTTATCATTTTCTTCACACAACTAGAGCTTTCTTTTGGTGGTATTTAATCACCGCTGGGGTTTTTATTTTTTGCTAAATTAACAAAAAAAGACCAAAAATTTTGAAAAAAAAAAAACACGTTTTTCTTTGTTTCTGTTATAAAAGTTTACAAATATATAATTGTTCTTCATAAATTTAGGCCGAGATGTATTCTGCTACATGTCTTTGGTGAAAATAACCCAAATTAGTATGTATTATTTAGTCTGTAGGAAAGTTATAGAGTTCACAAACTATGGTATAGATCTGAAAATTGATCAATCCTGAAGTACTGACGGCCAATCTAATTTCTTGAGGTCCAAGAATGTCAGGACAGTACAGATATCCCCCAAATGTCAGGACGGTACAGATATCCCCCAAAAATGACCCCTTTTTGCAGAGTAAAGAGTCCGACGTACTTCATAAGAGGAATGGCGAGTTTTTTGAAGTTGTATTTTTTTTGTAATAATTTTTCGGAAAATTAAAAAATTATTTTCACAATTTTTTTTTTTACATACTGTCACCAGTGCAGTACAGCATCATCATATAACTAGCATGGCGGTGAACAGGGACACTGACTGGTGACAGTATGAAAAAAAAATATATATATATATATTTTTTTTATTATTATTATTTTACATTTTTTATTACATTTTTTTTTATTTTTTTAAGATTTGTTTTTCATATTTTACTATGACCAAAGTAGTACAATGTTACCATAGCAACATTGTACTACTTTGGGGAAGTGATCAGTATTTTTTTTTTTTTTTACACAATTTGCTTATAGCAAAGAATTACTTTGCTATAAGCAAGCATTTACCTGAATGAAATCGATTCATTCAGGTTTTTTTTTTTTTTTTTTTGTGCTTAGCTGTGATTTGGCTACAGCTAATCACATGACATGTGCATGTGACCTGTTGTGACCATTCACAGCTAGGCACTAGTATACAATGGATGGCATGAATGAAGCCATCCATTGTATAAAACTGTCATGTGACTGCTGCTGATTGGTCACAGCAGGTCACATGGTACCGGCAACGGGGGCCGGTACTCAGATCTGTCATCGGCCATGTCCGAGGTACACGGCCAGTTACAGATCGCGCCACTGCGCGGCTCAGCAACCATGCGAACTGCACATGTGCGGGAGCACACCAGATGGCGTACACCCGGAAAGCTGAAGCATTTTTGCGGCCGCCAAACGGCTATAGACCGGGCGGCTAATGGTTTAAAGACCCTTTTCTGACTCTCTCTGTCACACACATCGACTATCATAATTATTTCTCCATTTGAGTTTTTAAACCCCACCTCCTGACCCACTTATTCTCGCCTTTCCTACATGGTTATGGAAGTCAGCCTTATGTAAGCTCCTTGTCAAATGGTGTCGGAGCTTACACAGGGTTAATGACATAGTTGATTCCCCAACATGACATGATTGGACATGGTGATTGGCTGCTAGACCTGAGCACTGTGTCATAAGCGGTCATATACAGTCATGGCCGAAATTGTTGGCACCCTTGATATTTCTCAGGAAATCATGTATTTCTCACGAAACGTATTGCATTAACACATGTTTTGCTATACACATGTTTATTCCCTTTGTGTGTATTGGGACAAAACAAAAAAAGATGAGGAAAGAAAGCAAATTCGACATAAATGTCACACAAACCTCCAAAAAATGGGCTGGACAAAAGTATTGGCACCCTTTCACAACTGCGGATAAATAAGAATGTTACAAGCATGTGATGCTCCTGTAAACTCACCTGGGGCAAGTAACAGGTGTGGGCAATATAGAAATCACACCTGAAAGCAGATAAAAAGGAGAGACGTTCACTTAACCTTTGCATTGTGTGTCTGTCTGTGCCACACTAAGCATGGACAACAGAAAGAGGAGACGAGAACTGTCTGAGGACCTGAGAACCAAAATTGTGGCAAAATATCAACAATCTCAAGGTTACAAGTCCATCTCCAGAGAACTAGATTTGCCTTTGTCCACACAGTGCGCAACATTATCAAGAAGTTTGCAACCCATGGCACTGTAGCTAATCTCCCTGGTCGTGGACGGATGAGGAAAATTGATGAAAGATTGCAACGCAGAATAGTCCGGATGGTGGATAAGCAGCCCCAAACATGTTCCAAAGACATTCAAGCTGTCCTGCAGGCTCAGGGGAGCATCAGTGTCAGCGCAGAACTATCCGTCGACATTTAAATGAAATGAAACGCTATGGCAGGAGACCCAGGAGGACCCCACTGCTGACACAGACATAAAAAAGCAAGACTACAGTTTGCCAAAATGTACTTGAGTAAGCCAAAAGCCTTCTGGGAAAACGTCTTGTGGACAGATGAGACCAAGATAGAGCTTTTGTAAAGCACATCATTCTACTGTTTACCGAAAACGGAATGAGGCCTACAAAGAACAAAACACAGTACCTACGGTAAAATATGGTGGAGGTTCAATGATGTTTTGGGGTTGTTTTGCTGCCTTGGCACTGGGTGCCTTGACTGTGTGCAAGGCATCATGAAATCTGAGGATTACCAAAGGATTTTGGGTCGCACTGTAGGGCCCAGTGTCAGAAAGCTGGGTTTGCGTCCAAGATCCTGGGTCTTCCAGCAGGACAATGACCCCAAACATACGTCAAAAAGCACTCAGAAATGGATGGCAAAGAAGCGCTGGAGAGTT